GTTCCCTCTCTCGCTGTGTCTTTCTCTGTCATATAAAAAAAAAAAAAAAAAAAAAAAAAAAAGCACATGAGATGCTTCACCCTAGATCTCATGGGCAAACCAATACGTGAATGATCAGAAGGTATCCATTTTAGTTTTAAGTTCAGGGATGAAAACATGGGACTGTTACTCAAGATGTTTTTCATTATTATACATAATTACTGCATTTTGGGTGAAATAGTAAAACTTGGAAAGGATTTGTGGGACAAAATTGAGATGGATTTTTAAAAATTTATCTAAATTCAATTACCATATAATGCATTATTGGTTTCAGAGGTAGAGGTCAGTGATTCATCAGTCTTATAATACCCAGTGCTCATTATGTCATGTGCCCCCCTTAATGTCCATCACTCAGTTACCCCACCCCCCACCCCTCTCCCCTCTAGCAACCCTGTTTGTTTCGTATGCTTAAGAGTCTCTTATGGTTTGTCTCCCTCCTGATTTCATATTGTTTTATTTTTTCTTCTCTTCCCCTATGAACCTCTGAGTTGTTTCTTAAATTCCACAGATGGAGTTTTTAAGAAAGACTTTACTATTTGAGAGAGAGAGCCTGAACTTGTGTGCGTGCATGAGCATGAGCACGGGGGGTGGGGGGGAGGGGCAGGGGGAGGGGGAGAAGCAGCCTCCCCACTGGGCAGGGAGCCAGAGGACTTGGGGCTGGACCCCAGGACCCTGAGATCATGACCTGAGCGGAAAGGAATAGTTCCACCTGTAAGGGACTGAGCCACCCAGGTGCCCCTCTCCCTTTTTCTTTAAAGAAACACAAATAAATAAGACTACAGGGAACATTTGAAGTTAGAGATGGGTCGTATCTTCAGTAGACAAAAAAAAAAAAAAATTTGTATTTTTTGTTGAATCCATGTGATCATAACAACAACAATTATGTGAACACTTACTGGGGATTCACTTGGAGCAGGCACTCTATGTAACTTTGGGTATATTAACTCATTTAATCCTCATCAAAATCTCATAATGTTGGGTCCTTTATTCCATGTTTCCTTCATTTCTTTTAGATTTATAAATTCTGTGTAGAAAGTTCGGCTCTACATAGAAATTGATTTTTAGTCTCTATATTTCATACATTAAAATATTGTTAAAATATGAATGTACTATTTATAGAATTTTTTGGCTATTGGATTGGATTCCTGTAGCATTTTAAAAAATTCATGTGGCTTAATAATTTAACGAACATTATTGAATGCCCAAGAATTGCCTTGTATCTGTAATTGATCAACATTGCATGTTTTTTCTTATGTTGCCTTTATAATATTGGGTAAGAAATGGTTAAATTGTGAACTCCAGTGAGCCATGCAGATCAGAGTAGGAATTGGGTGGATTTGAGTTTTTTAAGTAGTTTGACACTAGAAATCTCAAAGGCAATTGACTAACAACACTTCTTTCTCACAATTCAGGGGTTGATTCTGATGGGCAACCGGTGTTGAGAACCGTTGAATTTGGGAACTGATGAAGATTCAACCTAGTGTAGACTGTGAATGACACTGGATAGGTGGAGGATTTTATAATACTAGGGGAAAAGACATATCGGTATGGACATGGACACTATAAAGAAAATGGCAAGTCCGGCATAGACTAGTGTGGAGTAAATAACTGGGAATTACAAGACATTGGCAGATGCATAGAAATGACCATGATAAAAGATTCACCTTATTTATTACATTGCCTTGAATCTAGATTCTTAGGGTTTTTTTTAGTTGATTTTCACTAAATAGAGGGGTGAATTTATTTTTTATCCAGCTTCATTGAGATATAATTGACTTATAACATCATGCAGATTTAGGGTATGCAGTGTGATGATTTGAAATATGTACATATTGTGAAGTGATTACCACAGTAAGATTCACACATTCTCCACATCCAGTAGTTAAAATATTTTTTAAAAGATGAGTTTTAAGGTCTCCTACTGTGCATATGTACACGTAGATACACACACACATATTCATGTTTTTTTATTGTACCTTATTTGTTTTGGGGGGTAGAATATTTTTTATTTTAGTATATTTTGAAACAAAAGATGAAAGAATAGTACACTTAACTTCCATCTGTCTTTTACCTAGATAAACCAATTCACCCATTGTTTACATATTGTCCCCTTTGCTTTATCATGTCTATACATGTTTTGTCTTTCTTGTTTGGCCTACAGAATTAGGGACTAGTTAGTGGGTGTTTGCTAAATTTATGGTAGTTTGTTTTAGAACAAACAGAATAATAAAAATATGCTATGTAACTCATGAGAAGAACTTCAAGAAAAATAACAAATGAGAAATTACAGTAGATATTACAAAATGTTAAAATGAGAGGAAAGTGAATGAAATCTTTTAAAATGAAAATGAAATAATTTAAACTGAACGAAAATATCACAATGTTTGAAATAAAGCTAAGGCTGTGAATTAGAGGAAAATTTAAGGCTTTATATGTAAGTATAAGAATAAAGGAAAGCTGGAAGTAAACAATTTAAGCATCTTTTTCAAGAAAACAGCAAACTAAGTCTAAAGAGGGTAGAAGGAAGAAAATACTGGATAGTAGAAATCCAAGAACTAGAAAATAAACATACAAGAGAATCAAAAAGCTTTTCTTTGAAAATGTTAATAAAGTTGATAAAGCCTTGGCAAGAGTGATCATGAAAAAATTTCCTTTCTGTGAGGTCATGTTTCTGGAATCTCTTATATGGTTTCAGAAAATTATAAAGGGTGTCATCATGAAGATTGGTACTAATAGAACATAGAGCTCCAGCACCATATAATATTCTTGATAAGTGGGAGGTGATTAGTAATAGGAGTACTATTAATTGATGATATTGTTCCTATTTTACTTTTATTTTTTTCGATATTGTTAATATTTTAAGTGGTCTGTTCCCAGCTTTGCTTAGAAAAATGATAAACTATCACTATATCAATGTTCATACACACCGAATTATATAGACCTGTCCATGTAAGAAGCAGCTGGGTTAAATGTGTTTTTTATTTTTATTTTTTTAATGTTATGTTAGTCACCATACAGTACCTCATTAGTTTTTGATGTAGTGTTCCATGATTCATTGTTTGCGTATAATATCCAGTGCTCCATGCAATATGTGCCCTCCTTAATAGCTGGGTTAAATGTTAATCAAACTAACTTGATTTAGGCTTCTCATTTAAAATTCGGCCTTTTTCCAACAGACACATGAAAAAGTGCTCAATATCGCTCGGCATCAGGGAAATCCAAATCAAAACCTCAATGAGATACCACCTCACACCAGTCAGAATGGCTAAAATTAACAAGTCAGGAAACAACAGGTGTTGGCGGGGATGCGGAGAAAGGGGAACCCTCCTACACTGTTGGTGGGAATGCAAACTGGTGCAGCCACTCTGGAAAACAGTATGGAGGTTCCTCAAAAAGTTGAAAATAGAGCTACCATATGATCCAGCAATTGCACTACTGGGTATTTACCCCAAAGATACAAAAGTAGGGATCCGAAGGGGTACGTGCACCCCGATGTTTATAGCAGCAATGTCCACAATAGCCAAACTGTGGAAAGAGCCAAGATGTCCATCGACAGATGAATGGATAAAGAAGAAGTGGTATATATATACAATGGAATATTATGCAGCCATCAAAAGGAATGAGATCTTGCCATTTGCAATGACGTGGATGGAACTGGAGGGTATTATGTTGAGTGAAATAAGTCAAACAGAGAAAGACATGTATCATATGATCTCACTGATATGAGGAATTCTTAATCGCAGGAAACAAACTGAGTGTTGTTGGAGTGGGGGGTGGGGTGGGAGGGGTGGGGTGACTGGGTGATAGACACTGGGGAGGGTATGTGCTCTGGTAAGCGCTGTGAATTGTGCAAGACTGTTGAATCTCAGATCTGTACCTCTGAAACAAATAATGCAATATATGTTAAGAAAAAGAAAAAAAAGAAGAAGAAGAAGAAGGTAGCGGGAGGGGAAGAATGAAGCGGGGGAAATCGGAGGGGTAGACGAACCATGAGAGACGATGGACTCTGAAAAACAAACAGGGTTCTAGAGGGGAGGGGCGTGGGAGGATGGGTTAGCCTGGTGGTGGGTATTGAGGAGGGCACATTCTGCATGGAGCACTGGGTGTTATGCACAAACAATGAATCATGGAACACTTCATCTAAAACTAATGTTGTAATGTATGGGGATTAACATAAGAATAAAAAAATTAAAAAAAATTCGGCCTTTTTTCTTTATTCTTCATATAGTACCATGCAACATCTTCTTAATTGGCAGCAATATAGCTATTTCTTAGCATTTTAGATCTGTCTACTATAGAGGAGGACGGCGTATCTTTTGAGAGCGTGCATCCAGGGTTAACAAAGGTGAACATTATTAGGTCATATGGCTTCTGTTTTTGAATCAGATCATGTCAAAGAGGTCTAAAAAATTTGAAGAAAATCGGTTTAGCTCTTTTCACTTGTGGTAACACTTAAACAGGTGGGAACTTAATTGTATTGAATTGACCAAATTGAGAGGAATGCCAAGGAAACTGCTGTACTCACCTGGGACACTAGGTGGCACAGTGAGCTGCACACAGGAGATTTCTTCTAGCCTGAGGAGGGGATGTGCAGGAGAGATGGGATTTTATCAGATTCTAGGAGACTCCAAATAAATGTAGGAGGATTGAATTGTCAAGCCAAAGAGCTGTCACTTCCGGTTAGTCCTTTTCAAATGTATCCTAAGCTCGCTTATTTCTGTTGATTACACACATTCTGGTTAGCCACCTATACAGTGTTGAATACATGACTATTGACTTGGGTGGTAACGGGTCAAGGACTTACCAGTGTGAATTCCAAGTGACTTCACTGCCTGAAGGTAAAACCTTCCTGGTTCCTAGTTGGACAGTTAGGAACAGCAGGTAAGCCTCGATTTTAGCATACTAGCGCTTTATTCCATTTTCTGTTTGAAACTTAGTATTTTTTTTCTTTTTTATCTCAGAAAGAATTTCACAACACATTTGCATAGTTATGGACACAAAAGAAGATGAGAATCATGTAGGTCATTATCTTGAAGAAATACTAAAAAATGAATTAAATGTAAGTATTCAAAGGTTGAGTTTCATGACATCAAAGAGTTGAGTTCCACTTACTCCCTATTTTTGAGCTGATGATTCTTAGTTGAATTCATACCTAATTGGGCTAAGGAAATGGAAGAAGTAGTAATAAGTGTGAGGAGGTCCATAGGAATTATTTGTAACATTTACCACTAACGACTTGGATTATTTACTTCTTTGACAACTTTTTGTCTTGAAATGTTTTGTTTGACAAAATGATCTTATTTAATTTTAAGTCATTTCCCTATTTCTATTAAAATGTATAACCATCTATCAGGACTTATGATGAACATGTGATGACCTTTTAACAATATACACAATCAAATTCTACTTAAAAGCTGAAGGAAAAAGTTTATTTAGTTAATTTTATCATGATAGTGCAGTTAGAAGGGGAACGGGCTCTGTTAGGACTGTCTGCTCAGATGGCAGCTTTTTTGCCTAATTTCCTTATCTTAAATTGAAAATGTCAATAACATCTACTTTGTGAAGTTATTAAGAGGATTGACTTTGGAAAGCATCTAACTTGTAGTAAATTTTTGGTGAAGATGAAACTGTAATAATTAAATTTTTGATGATGAGACAGATGTGTATTAAATTCTACCAGTAGCACTTGGAGCAACAACCCAAAGCTGAAAGAAAATGACCACCATATCCACTGTCTCTTCAGTGGAAAGGTTATACTGTAATCTACTTTGTGATATTGCTTCTATCTGTTGACTTTCTGGACATTTCCCCTTCATCCTTGGAAATTTTCACATCTTGCGCTGTCTGCTTTCTACCTCGAGTTCACCTATTGAGAATCTATTCCTAAATTCCATTCCCCAGTTTCACTGCTGCATCTTGCAGAATATTTATTGATAACTTTTCACTCTCTGACCCACTGAAGCACCCTTTTGCCTCAAAAATAGTCTTTTATCTTTGGGTAATCTCATTTATTCTTTCTCCAGTCAATGCAGAAGTCAATGAGGTGGGACCCTGAAAGAATATTACTGGAACTCTGGCTATCGATCAACCCTAAGTTTAGAGAGTTGGGTTTTTATACTTCTGTTGAGTACCCAGCTGTTGTATTCTGTGTGACTAATTCCTTTATGGATCTTGCTAGTATTAGACCCTGCAAGAAGTCCCTTTGATAACAATTATTACAGTATTCTCTTTTTATTGCTTCTTTTTCTGTATCTGTTGAATGATGAAATGACATGGAATATAGGGATACACACAGTAGTACATTGACTGGCCTTGTGTGATTTATTCATCACTCTGGCCTCTCAGGTCCTTACCTTTTTCATTTCCAGTGACCTTCATCTACCTACCCATTGGGTCCAGTCTGCATATTGCCATCATCTTAACTGTGTTGACAAAATAAATACTAAGGTTATTTCTTAAGTTCTGACCACAACGTTTTGTCGTTTCATATATTCTGCTAAATTACTCCTGTGCATATTTGAATTTTATAGGAAACTCCAGGTCCCCCATCTTCTCCTTTTCTTTTGGCTACATTTTATTTTATACCCTTCCTTGCCTAGTTTAGATGTCATGTTTTAGGGCTTCAGTGGATCATGAATCTTCTACCGCCATCCTCAATTCCCTTGTCCTTCAAATGCACCCCTTCGTTAAAACTCCATGTATTTGTCTAACTTTTCACTTCTCTAAGCCTTGACTCAAACTTCATACTGCTGGAGAAAATTACACAGCAGTGCAGATTGTTGCCATTAAAAAATACTGGTCTCCATTCTCCAGTGGGCAAAGAATATTTTATTTATTTATTTTTAAAGCAAATATACTACGATTGCATAATCAACGCCCATCCTCCTCTGAATATTTTAAACCTCCTGCACTTTGCTCAAATGCTGAACCCAGGTTTTCTTAACTTTAGTGTTAGCATTTTGAGCTAGATAACTCTTTGTTGTGAGAGCCTGTCTTCTGTGTTGTATACTGTTCAGCAGCATCCTTGGCCTATACCCACCAGATGCCCCTAGTTGTAACAATTAAAACATCTCTGGTTATTAGTAAGTGTTGCCTGGATGGGGCAAAATCCTCCTTCAGTTGAGAAAAGCTGGTCCAGTCCCACTATCTTTAACCCCATTGTTAGACATGGTCTTGTCTCCAATTTCAGAGCATAATTACTCACTCCCACATGGCAGCATTCCTATCTTCCCGGCACCAAACCTCCAAAGAATCCTATGTCTGTAGCCGTACTCTTAATAGGACTGTTTCTTCTTCTGAGCTCTGGTTCCCCTCCCTCCTCTTCCCCCATTGCCATCAACATCCCAGCATATTCAAGTTCCTTCCATTAATTGAAACTAAACAAACAAAAAATCCTCTTACTCAGGTTACCCTGAAGCCAGCCTTGTTTAGAATAATTTAACTTCTCATTTCTCATTTCAGTGTAGCCTGATTTCCAGTCCTACCTTGTGTAGGAACTACTCTCAGCAAGGTCCTCAGTGACCCTTTGGGCAATCCACAACATTTATCAGTCCTTACCTTGATTTATTGCAGTACTTGACCCTCTTGTCTAATACTTTATTCCAGAAGGAATCTCATCCGTTTTTATAATGTCTTGTTTATCTGAACTTCCTTTTTTGTTTGTGGCTTCCTCTTAGTTTTGTTTATAGGATCCTGTTCATAATTTTTAGGTTTCTGTACATAGGTGAGTGGTTTACTCTGTATAACCATGCTGATGGCTTCACGTATCATCTACTTGCTAGAGATAAAACCATTCTCTAGCCCTGTGTTTAATTATTCACCAGCCTGTGTTTCAGATCTGTAAATTCATTTAGAAGTTCCTCAGACCCTCAAACTTAAATGTTAGTAGTATTTAACATTTCACAAATTCTTGTCTAAAGCAGTTGTCCTCCATCTGCTAAGGTTTCAGCCTCTGACATTTGTATATTTTGCCTAGTTCCCTAAACCTGGTGTAATCTTTCAACCATTCTCTATCTCACCCCTGAAGCAAATAAAATTCCAAAACACTTGAGTTTTATCTCAGTATCCCTCAACTGAGGAATCTGGAGTCTTTCCAGAGCTTAGTGCAGTCTTGATACCAGGGGGAGATTTATTGAATGCTAAATAAACAAATGGATAAATGATCATAACTTGTTATTACTAACTTGCACATTATATTGTGTATTGTACTATGCTTTCTGTATAACCGATTATTCCCAACTTAGTGACCTTAAATAACAAACATTCACTGTCTCACAGTTTTTGTGAGACATAAGTCTAGGCACAGCACAGCCAGCTGGCTTCAGTTCAGGGTCTTTAATTTGACTGTAGTCAAGCTGTCCTCTTCAGGCTGAGGCTCACCTGAATCATCCATGGGCAAATGGATCTGCTCACAATTTATGCAAATAGTTGTGGTCAGGCCTCAATCCCTTGCCATGTGGGTTTATCCACAGAGCTGCCTCACAACATGGCATTCAGGATTGAAGGCATGGTCTTTTTGTAACTTGATCTTAAAAGTAACACCCCATCACTTGTGTCCTATTGTCTTCATTCAAAGTGAGTCAGTATATTCAACCCACACTCAAGAGGAGGGGATTATGTGAGATTGTGAATATTGAGAGGTGGGGGAATTTTTAGTGGGTCTCTTTTAGAAGTTGTCTGCCACAAACATAAATTTGTTACTAAGTTAGAAAAGAAAATACCCACTACCATGGCTATCCTAGTTTCCTGTACATGAGAAGCAGTACTATATTTAAGTCTGAGTCTTCTCTATTAGAAATCATTATCCAACCACACTATAATTCCTTAAATAAATGGAGGCCCAATCTATTTGATATGAAAACTAGTCCTTAGTACTCGAGTTTATCATATATTCTATATGACAAACACCAGAGTTGATCAGAAACATCCAAATAGTTTTTTTTTTATTGTATTTTATTATGTTAGTCACCATACATCATTAGTTTTTGATGTAGTGATCCACGCTTCATTGTTTTCATATAACACCCAATGCTCCATGCAGTACGTGCCCTCCTTAATACCCATTACCAGGCTAACCCATCCCCCCTCCCCTCTAACACCCTCAGTTTGTTTCTCAGAGTCCATAGTCTCTCGTGGTTCATCTCTCCCTCCGATTTCCCCCCCTTCATTATTCCTTTTCCTTCTCCTAATGTCCTCCATGCTATTCCTTATGTTCCACAAATAAGTGAAACCATATGATAATTGACTTTCTCTGCTTGACTTATTTCATTAGCATAATCTCCTCCAGTCACATCCATGTAGATGTAAAAGTTGGGTATTCATCCTTTCTGATGGCTGAGTAATATCCCATTTGTAGATATGGACCACATCTTTATCCATTCGTCTGTTGAAGGGCACCTTGGCTCTTTCCACTCTTTGGCTATTGCGGACATTGCTGCTCTGAACGTTGGGGTGCATATGGCCCTTCTTTTCACTACATCTGTGTCTTTGGCACCATACACAAAGATAAACTCAAAATGGATGAAAGACCTCAATGTGAGACTGAATAGTTTTCAAATCAGTGACTGACAGATGGAGCTGAGTAGCCAAAACCAACAGACTAAGGACATACTCGAAACAAGAAATGAGTTTAATCACCTGAATTAAATACAGTTCTATCCAATATAAACCAGCCTAACAAATTTTCAAATTCTAGTAAAGAGTCATTGACTACTTTTTTTAGGTTTTTATGTTGATCATTCCATAGTATAACCCTAGGTGACCTGTTGTATAATCTGATAAAACATCCTAAATATTGACTTAATTTTAAAAGAAATGAGCCCACAAAATAGAGAGATAATAGTCTTAACATATTCTTCACAGCTTCAGAAATAGTTTCTGAGCTTTTACTAGGCTTCATTTCTATATTTTTTTTCTTTTCCTTTGCTACTCCCTCCCTCTGTCACTTTTTTTTTTTAAGATTTTTGTTTGTTTGTTTTTAGAGAGAACACGTGTGAGCTCAGGGGGTGGTGGGGACCAGAGGGAGAGGCGGCATAGAGAGAATTGCAAGGAGACCCCCCC